CACACGGTGGCATCCACCCCTGGCGAGATCGTGGGGACGGGGCCGCTGCTCCTGGCCGGGAGCGTGAAGCTTGGGGATTTTGGAAGGAATTCTGGGAATGCCAACATTCACAATGCAGAATTGGAAAGGGGAATATTTCTGCCTGAGATGCTGCCCCTGCTCCGGTTTGCCCCAGTGAATCCGGGCCTGTGCGGATGCAGGAGGCATCGATCAGAGCATTGGACGCCCTGTGGGTGCTGCTCCGGAGCTGGGGCTGTCCCGGATGGAGCTGCCAGGACTCCGGAGCGCAGCACTCCGCTGTCCTCGCCGCCCCAGCAAGGACAGATTAAGTTTATTAATCTCCCCCGCTTTCACTCCAAAGACAAATTGTGCTGAACGTCAGTGCCCGTGAGCTCGGGACGTGTGGAGCATCCTTGGGGACGCCGCAGCCGGCCCACGGCCCAAGCGCCTTCATGGGACGAGGCCTGACGACGCCGCTAATCAACCTGGGGTTGGAAAAGAGGAAAAATAGAATCTTCTTATCCGCTTAGGGATGCGCTCCTGGTTTTTAAGCCCATGGACTGCCCTGTCTTCCTACTGGGCGCCGTGTGCTGCTCAGCGGACCGGCGGGGGGTATTTTTAACAAGTCCCTATTTTAGCTTGGACCGAGAGATGTTAATGTTTGAGGGAGATTTTCTCTTTTTAAAATAACATATATATATGTATAAAATATTTGCGATTAGCTAACTGCTGGCCTATACCCTGCACATTGCAGGAGAGAGAAGAAAATCATTGGGCTTTTTCCCCCTGTCCTTAGAAATCTGGGGATGCGAAGGCATGAATCAGTTGAAAAGAACTGGCAAACACGCACAGGCTCCCCCGTAGGGATCTTTCCAAGCCCCTTGGTGCTGCTTCCTCGCCTGCATCCAGCGGGAAGAGCGCGGCCGGGAGCGAGCGGCAGCCTTGGTGGGTACGGGAGCAGCGGCTCCTTCCATCGCATCCTTCCAGCGGAGCCGGGAGCGGCTCCCGCCACATCCCGAGCCGAGTTAAAGCTAAAACCCCCCTGCAAACGGCAGGGAGCAATTTCACATCCCCACCGTATTCCTAACAGATCCGACAGTGGCATGATTGACCAAGCTTTTTTCCCCCCTCTCCCTTCTTCTTTTTTTAAAGTACACATATGATGATGCATCATAGTTATAAACAGATGGTATTTGGCCTCCTTCCTATTCTCAACATTTGGAATTCCTAAACTATGTGAATTAAACAATAATATTTTATAAACATACAAGGGATTTTGCTCACTGCTTTGTTAACATAGAAATTATACAATGCTGACATTTATTTAAATTTCCAAAAGTAAACAAGAGGGTGTATTGAACCAAAGCACACTAAAACCAGCGGCGCGGGATATGCTCCGTGCACCTAGGGCAGCCCGGGCCTTTTTGAGGAGATCTTAATGGGATGAAGCACAAATTGTAGCTTAGACCGTCTGAGCCTTTGTGCTCCGAGGGCTCGTTTAACACCTCGCCGTAAACAGCGGATATTTACCCCGTAATTGGCTGCCGGACCCGCAGTTGTGCATTTGCGCCGTAACCTGCTATTATGGAGTTAAAAGAAGTTCCTCCGCGCTGGCTTTTCTAGGAGCGAAAAGTGTGTTTGCAATTTCAGTACCAACTGGATTCAGTCTAACACTTGTACTTAGGATGAGAAACATTTTCGTAATACCAAAATTGGGGGGAATCGGATCATTCCTGCCAGCAAGGGAAGAGGAACATATTGGTTCTGCGGAGCAGCATCCCCTTTGCTCCGTTTTCTCTCTCCCTTCTTTTTTAACCCCTTTCTAGGTGCCCCCCCCCCCCGCCACCGCGCTGCCGAGCACTCCGGTTTTAATCACTATTCCCAGGTCTGCGAAGAGGCTCCTGTGATGAATAAATAATGACCCCGAGATTTTAATCAGCGCTACGATTTGGGAAGGGGCTAATTACTATTGTTTACAGACCAGCCAGCCCTGCGCCACCGTCCCGCGAAGGGTTAACCCCCCGCATCCCCGTGCTCCGCTCTGCCACGCTGCCATTCGGGCTTTCCTCCTTCTCCCTTTCTTTTTTTCTTTTTCTTTTTTTTCCCTTTTTTTCCCTCCTTTTTTCCTTTTCTCTTTCCATTTTTCCCCCTTTTTTTCTTGTTTTTTTTCCCCTTTATTCCTTTTTTTCTTTTTTCCTTTCCCCCCCCATTTTCCTCCTTTTTCCTCCTTTCCCCCTCCCCTTTCCTTTCTTTTTTCCTCTCCATCCTTTCTCCTTTGCTCACAAGCACGCCGGGATCCGTCGGGTGACGGTGGCGGTGCCGGCTCTCTCCGCGGAAAGGCGGCGCTTTTCCTTTTCTCCTTTTTTTTTCCCCCCACTGGTGGCATTATTTATTTATGAGCATCGCACGAGGATGTGCTTTCCCCTAAATAAGTAAAATAATAATAATAATAATAATGATGATGATAATAATGATGATGATGATGATGCCAGGATAATCCGTCTCGGCGGGAGCACCCGGCGCTGGGTGCTGCGCTGTGAGCAACAGCTGAGCCCGCGACCACAACGCGGTGCTGCTATTTAGTCCCTATAATGAACGTCCGGGCAGCACTTCTATTATAAAACCTTATTTTCAAGGGTTCGTCACTTAGGATTATTTTTTTAATTTATTTTTCCCCGTTTGCTTGCTGTATGGGATCACCTTAAAAGTGTTTAATAGGGTTATCCCCGTCATCCTCCCGGGTTGCTTCTTACAGTGCTCCAGCTGCAGGATGGGCAGAGAGAAAACATTTCTGCAAGATCGAAGATACATGGAAATGCTTTAATATAATTCGTTCGGAAATTATTCCCATGAAAACAATTTGTTTGGGAGAAAATGCCCCCCGGTCTTTTCCACACAAACTGTCTTGTGCTTGTACATGGGAACCAAACTTAAAAGTGACTATGGGCAGCAACGAGGCCGGCTAATTCGTTTTGACTGTCCTGCCTGGAATCCAAAAGCAAAGAGTAAACAGCCCAACTAGTGAAAGGTGAATTTAATTTTCAAAGCCCTTTAACTTTTAATAAACAGTATGGGAGGTAGGCTCTACCCTCCGTTATCCTGCCATAAATTCACTCAAGATTTATATTGGTGTAACAGAGCAGCAGAATTCGCTCCGTGATTTCTAATGAACTGCTGGCTCGGTCTTTAAAAATGCAATTAGAAAAATCTAGCATCCTAATTTGGAACAGCTTGGAGCCACGGCAGAGGTCTCGGGGCTGCGAACACCGAGGGAGCGCGGCCGCGCCACCGCAGCGGGGACAGTCGGCAAAAAATAAATAAATAAGCAAAATTCCCCAGTTATTTTAGGATTTTTGGTCCTTATTGTATTGGAAAAGACATGTCTCAGCCAGGCCTCACTTCTCCCTATCCCTCTGTGTCCAGCATGGGACTTGCAGCCCTAGGCCACCTCCCCCCAGGAATGTAGATATATATGGGGGTATATTTACACCCTCAGCTATGGAGGAAGGGCAGAGGAATCAGACTGGTTGTCCCTCCTGTGGTTTTGGGGGGTATTTTTGTGTTTTTTTTGCTTGTTTTAAAATAATAACCTGGACCTGTGCATTCACTAGCCAGGGGTGTGCAGATCCCGGGGCTTTTCGCCTGTTTTGGGGGCACTTTCTGGGAGTGCTGGGTCTGCAAGCAGGACTTCCTTGCCCTTTTTCATAGCCAGGATCTAGGAAAACTGGTGAAAGAGGCCTCACGAAGCTCTCCATGGTTATTGAAAACCTGGATCACCACAGGAAACACACAGCAGACGAAGGATTCCCCGGCACCGAAGCGGGGAGCTGGTGCTGGCATCAGGCTCTGGAGCAATCCCACTTCCCGAGGATGCCCCGCGCCTCTTCCCATCCCAAGCTGGAAACCCTGGAATTGCTCATCCTGGCTTGCAAAGCAGATCCTGCTCGATCAGATAAAAGCACAACCGCATCCATCGACTCTGGCACGGGGATGCGCGCCGTGATAAACACACAGATAGATGTACACACTTATACATGAATGAGATATGCTAATTAAAAATTGCAGTGGGCACTTTATTAAAAATTTATTGTACAATCTACATCTTCAAAACATTTTACATCAACAAATACAGCAGCTTGACTGCTGGAATCGTAAGTGATTTATCTTTAAAAGGCTGCAATTGTAACTGGATGCAAAGATCCTTGATGAACTGCAGCTACTGGTTTTTATTGGAAGTATTTTGACCGTTATCTGTTTGTTCTCCATCCTTGAGAGAAATAAAACAAGTGTCTCGGCTTTCATTTTATCGGATAGATGGCACCATGTAGCATATTTCCCATGCTAGTTTGAATTACAGCTGTTTATCTTTCAGCTTTCTTTAAGATTAATTAAATGCAAATGTAACTCGGTGAATCATGGGATTACCTGCCAGACCCCTTATTAATACCTTCGCTTAAAAACCCCCGGTGCCAGCGAGCCATTAATTTGCAAAAAAATAAAAAAAAAAAAAAAAAAAAAG